TCTGAGGTGTAGATTCCATTGTATAGTGTTCCGAATGCCCACCCAATTGGCCCCAAACCACTTGCCGTGTGTTCCCACCCCACACCAATCTGAGATGCTCCCTTTGTCCTGCACTGCTCTCTGGTCTGTGTGCTCAGGCAATTTGCAACTTTCGTCCTAATTCCTTTAATAGCCTAGGTGGTCCCAGCCTCTTTCTTTTATGAGTCCTGCTCCGTCCTGCACTGGGAGGCCACTGCAGCATCGGGGCATTCCCGCCCCATCAATGGCTGTTGCAAATTGCAACATTCTTCCAGTTCTTTTATTCCCCACTTTTCGGAATCACTGTCTTAGACATTTCTTTGACCATAGTGGAGTTGGCTTCGCTGTGTGAGCTATTCTGATAATCCTTATTTTAGATAGATGAGTTTAGTGGATTTATCTTTATTGAAATGACAGATGTTTGGCCTTAGATCTGTCATATTTTACATTATGGGCTCTGTGTAAATTTTAAAATACATTTCATTTAAAAATTTTGTATGTCTAAGTTAGCCTTCTGATATTTGGGAGGCTTGTGCCCTTGTTTTAGTTGATCCCCTTTACCCTTCTGTTCCTTAGAGTGTCCATTCATTACCCACTATAAGCCATGATGGAATTGGTATATTCTCCTTTCTTCCCTTTCCCCTCCCTCTTCTATCACCAATTTCAGTCATCTACATTATTTTTATTAGTCTTTTGTTAAATTTATATGCCTTTTGATTTCCAGCAACTATTTATGAGGCAATCTATTTCAATCCACAAATCCCACCTTTTTATCCTCTTCCCTCCCAGTTTTGGTTTGCTATATATTTTCTGCATTGTCAGGATATATAATATTTACATTTTTCCGTCACCTGTTTTTTCCACATTTGTTTTAGTTCTAGTTTTAGAGTCAAATATATTCAGTTCTCACTCTCAGTCCTTTTGCCATGCTGTTCCCATGAGGTTCACTGAGGCTTGTTCTTTGGTAGATTTTGTAGGAAGACTCGTGGCATAAGGTTCTCTAAGTTCCTGCATATTCAAAATTGTTTGCTACCATTTTAGTTGAATGTGCTGGCTCTTAAATCCTTGGCCACGTGTTCTTTCTTGGGGACTTTAGGTGTTTCTTCACTCTCTTCTCTTGTGTAACTGGTTCTGCAGGTGTGGGCCAGCAGCATCATTATCACTTGAGACTGGGTTGAAATACACACTCTCAGGCCCCATCCCAGACCTACTGAGTCAGAAATGCAGGAGGTGGAGCCTGGCAGTCTGTATCTTAAGAGGCCCTCCTCGTGATTCTCTGTAGATTCTTTCTTATGCTGTGACAATACTAAGGTCAGCCTATTTTCCCCCCTTATTAGTGACAATGTTTTATCTGGCTGTCAAAAGAATGATTTCTCTATATTTCAGCTTCAGTAGTTTTACCAGATCTTGTCTCAGTGTTGGCCATCCTGGGTCAGGTTTCTCAGGCACAAGCATATCCCTTTTCAATATGTAGAAATGTGGTGGTGTCCTTTGTTTCAGGAAAGATTTCTTTAATTATATCTTTAAATATTTTTCTGTTCCAATATTTCAGCTTTTCTCGGGGGAGACTCTGGTCATACATGTGTTGGATTTCTTTTGTCTTTTCTAATCTTCTATGTTCTTTTATTTTTATTTCATCTTGCCTGCACCTCTTATTTTTTCCTCTATGTCCCTTCTTTTGTGTTCTGCAGCTTCTATTCTGTTATACTCTTTGAAATGTTGCCCTTGTTTCTAGTGTTTCTGCTCTCTGGTTTTGCATCACAGAAGCTAATGATTCCTCGGGCTGTTAAATCATTTTATCTTCCCTCAGTGTTTTTCTGGTAAATGATCTCAGTCTATTATGAGTGTCTACTGAGTACCCCGTTAACTTTTGTAGTATCTTGTATCTCCTGATGCCTGTCCTCCCTTCCTTTTTTCCTCCCTTTCTCTCTCTTTCTTCCTTCTTTTCTTCCTTCCATTTTCTTCTTCTTTTTCTTCATAGTATTGCTCATAATTGAAAGAGTTGCCTTTTTTCCAAACTAGCTGTTTGTAGGTGGTACGTGCATTGGTGCTTGTGTGCATGTCTGTGCTTGTGTGCATGTGCATGTGTATGCATGTGTGCATGTGCATGTGTGTGTGCGTGCACACGTGTGTGTGTTTATGATATTCACAGCCACTGAGTTCTCACTTCGAGGCATCCTCTCTTCTCTCCCTCCAGCACAGTTCCTACTCATCCAAGCCTGACTTTTGCTGTTGTTAGTAGCTTTTGCATCTATTTTGTATCTGAACATGGTATCTATCTCATTTCACACACACACAAAAAAGTTTTCATTTTTGTTTACTGCTTTTCTTTTTGCTTTGGGATTAATTCCTAGAAGATTTAGTGGAAGGCTGACTGTATCTCCAAGTTCAAATCAGATCTTGCTCTATTAATTTTAAGCATTTGCAACTTTAATATATGTTAATTGATTTCTTTATTGCTTTAAGAATAAAATAAGGAATTGGTGTTATATCTCCTAATAGGGGTTAAATCTAAAGTCAACTTGTAAGTAAAATATGCCTATGATTTGATCGCACACAGAGTTCCAATGTCAAATTCCCCTGACTCCATAGAGCATTTTCTTAACTATTATATAAACTGCTTTTCCTCGTAGTCATGATTCTGCCTTTAAAATGAAACATGAACAATATATTGATTTATGCACAGCATGGCTCTTAATTTAGTCTTGGTCCCTGTGAATGTGATGATCTTCATGGGTGCCCATTTCTGTTTCTACTTATTAAAATTTATGTGCAGAAATTTTTTGGACACAGTTGTGAGAAGCAGTGTTATAAAAAAATTTGAATGAAGCTATAAACAATGTCTTAGCATTTAAGATGTAGCTTCCAAGTGAGAATACAATTTGGGAAAGTGTGCCCATTTCCTGTTTATGTCAGTTTGGCCCATGCATAGTACAGGATGCTATAGTTGATTGAATTTTGTCCCCCCAAAACTCCCTGAAGCTTGAATTGTGTCCCCCACGTTTTATGTATTAGAAACTTAGTCCCGACTCTGCCTGTTAAGAAGGTGGGAAATCCTATTATGGTAATTGAAATTTGGACCCTTGAAGAGGTGATTAGATTGTAGGACCATGCAGTAGTGAATGGGTTAAAAATGGTGGTCAGGGGTGTGGTTCCAAGGGCTTTAAAAGAAAAGAGTCTCTCTCTCTTGCTCTCTCTGCTCTCTCTGCTTCCACCCTATTGCAGTGTGAGACCCCAGGTTCACTTTTGCCACCACCAGATGGACTTTGGACTTCCCAGCCTCAGAAACTGTGAGCAATAAATTTCATTTATCTTTATAAATTATCCAGTTCCAAGTATTTTGTTATAAGCAACCTAAATGGACTCATACAGATGCCCTTCTTTCTGTCCCTCCCTCAACACGGAATTCCCAAATCCCCCTGTATACTGCCGTGTTCCTTACTCTTCCTTGTAGACATGCTTTTGCCCTTTGAAGTCATTCCCTCTTTTCTACTTATGCTACTATTTGCAACTTTCCTAGATCCATATATTATTCCATAAATTTTGATGTAGAAAATAAAGAGAGGGAAGAGTCTTAATTCCTAAGAAATAATTGCATACTCTATGCCTATGCCTAGGATAAATTATTTAACCTTTTGAGCTTCACTTGATAAACATTCGTGTGCATCTGATAAGTGCTCTGTGATGAGGTTTTGGGACAAGGAAGACAGTGTGGTGAGTCTGAGAGGGAAGCACAGCCCTGTCCTTTGGTCAGTGCCAGATGCAGTCCCACTTTCTACCTTCCTCATTCAGAGAGGCTCAGGGGGTGCGAGTCAGCCAGGTGGAGGTGGGAGGAAGGACGTCATAAGCTGAGAGACGGCCGTGCACAGGGGCAGGTTATGATGGAGACCAGGATGTCTGGGAAGTATAGCCTTGCTCTGTTTGGATGGTGAATCAGTTGTGTGCTTGGCAGGGCCAGGGATGGGCGATTAGCACCAGCCCAGCTAAGTGTGAATGGCTCATTTTAGCTGATTTTATCCTGTGACACATGGGGAATCACCTAACATTTTAAAGCTGGAGAATAACATGATCCAGTGTACAGTTTAAGAATATTGTGTGTAGGATAGGGGTTAGAGAATTGCTAATGGTCTTTCCAGTTCAGTGGAATTGTATCAGTGATCTATTGTTGTGTTAACAAACTACCCTGGATGCAGTGCCTTAAAACACAGCCATGTACTTAGCTCACAGTTCTGCTGGGAGTTCTCTTGGTCTGAGCTGGTCTCAGATGGGCTCATTCATGGATCCGCAGCCAGCTGCCGGCCAGCTTGGTGGCTCTGCTCCTGCAGGTGGCTGGCCCTTGGCAGGGGCCGTGGGGGTGACTCAGTCATGTGTCTGTCAGCCTTCAGCAGGCTGGGCCAGGCTACTTCACATGGAAGCAAGAGAGGGCAAGGCCAGGACAAGCAAGACATGTCAAGGCCAGGACTAGTGCCGATTCAAGGGGTGAAGAAATAGGCTCCACCATGTGATAAGAGGAGCCACAGAGTCATGTTAGAGTCATATTGTAAGGCTGTAAAACAGGGAAAGGGTTTGGGGCCATCTTTGTAATATGCCATAGCAGTACTTCAGCATATTTCCATTTGGCTGTTAATTTAATTTGGGTTTTGTTTTTTGCCTTTCTGTGTGATGACCAGTATCTATTTCATCCTTATGAATATTTCGTGCTGCACAGGATTGGCCACATAATTATCAGGGCCCAGTGGAAAATGAAAATGCAGAGTCCCTTGCTCAAAAAAAGTATTATGAATTTCAAGACAGCTGAGCATTAAACCACACACGGAGCCCTGTTGAGTGTAGGCTCTCTCTGTGTGGCTACCACAGAGACAAGAGTCACCTTTACTGTATCTGTTCCCATCTTAGTTACGCATCATGACCATCTACAAATGTTAACTGTTATGCCTGCTTTTAAAAATTCATCAAGTGTCCACCCTTTCTTCTTTTTCCAGAAGGCATCTACGTGCTCAAGGCTGTTATTTACAATGAGTTTCACGGATCTGAAGTGGAGCTTGGGCCTTATTATGTGGAAATCAGCCAGGAGGCTGTGTCTGTGTTCATGAATTCCAGCAGTGTCCACAAGGATGAAGTTCTTGTCTTCACTGGCTCCTACATGAATCAGGAAAGTAAGACCTGTGTCTAGAGTCTGCATAATCTCAACTATAAATGAAGCGTGGCTCTGTCTGCTTTAATTATACCGTTCAAGTTCTGACAGTTCTCAATTTGATATGGTATCCATTTATTCTTTCCTCACTGAGAAACTGTTCATGCAGAATACTGTGTTCTCAGGGGAGAGGAGTGTGAAGATGAAGTCCTACAAGATCCTAGTCTTAAGGAATTTGTCATCTAGTAAAGACACCAGACATGCATATGAAAGATATGAGATAGGACATAAAAACGCCTTCAGAAGGACATGGCTAAGGGGCTGGGAGATTTCAGGAGATGGGATTACGTGTAACTGTGGAGGTAGGAGCTGGCACATATGACGAGTCTGGAGGAGTGGGATGGCCATGAAGAAGGAGGGACGGGATGGATGGCGTGGCTATGAGTCAAAGCAGAACTGAGGGACAGCACAGGGTGCTTGCCTTGGGTTGGTTTCTGCCCAGTGCCTCCCTCCCATCACCTGGCTTCATCCCACAACCACCTGTACGGGGCTGTTCCCTTCAACGGGATGGATGGCGTGGCTATGAGTCAAAGCAGAACTGAGGGACAGCACAGGGTGCTTGCCGTGGGTTGGTTTCTGCCCAGTGCCTCCCTCCCATCACCTGGCTTCATCCCACAACCACCTGTACGGGGCTGTTCCCTTCATGTCACTCTTACAGAGAGGAAGCCGAAGCTCAGAGGCCAGTGGGGAGGGGTGGGGACTCCAGCCACATGCTGTCGGGGGAAGAGTCCGGGGGGGCAGTCAGAGACAAGCCCAGAATGTTCAGCCCATGTAAATGGAATGTGGAGCCGCCATTTCCCAGAAGAAGTAAGAAGAGAATCCACTGGGAGATGTACTCCAAGGAATTCATTTCTAGAAGTCTTCAGAACTTGTTTTACACATCGACTGTACGTTTGCCATACAGCCAGTCTGATGAGAAACTCTCCATCCATGAAACTAAAATACGTAGGGGAGGAGTTTTTCAACCTGTCAGCACACCCTAACCAGCTGGTTGGTCGTTCATATTGACTTTTTTTATCTAAACTTTGAATGAATAAACGGCCCATCTAGCCAATGTGAAAGCAGAATGCTTGTAAATCCCTGTTGGTTCTGTGCCAGGACTTAGAATGGGCAGGCCTGTTTTCATGTAGCTCTGCAGATTGGTAACTGGATAATCTCATGCAGCTCTGTGGATTGTACTTTCCTCAGACATTGTGACTTCCAGACTGTGGTCAGAGTTAAGGCCATGGCACTGTTATTCATGGGATATTTACCTTTCAAAAATTCTAATTTGTGAGTGAAGAGCAAAATATCCATTCTATTTTATCTGTTTCAAATAAACATTTTCTCCTTATAAAGAGAAAAACTATACAGAAGAACAGCAATAATTATAAAAAACCTGCTTCCTTTCTTAATATTCCTTTGTAATAAATGAGTTCTAAGTCTTCCTAGACATCACAGTCCTCTTCCAGAATCTAATACAGTGTTTGGGATCTGCCTTCTAATACATACATACATGCATATATACGTGTGTGTGGTATGTGGTGTATGTAGTGTTTGTGGTTTGTGCATGTGTGGTATGTATGTATGTGGTGTGTCTGTGTGGTGTGTTTGTATGCAAAATCTTGTGTTGTATATATTTTTAATTAATTTATTATTTTTTTACATTTTAAGATGTGGAGCAGTTGGGGGGGAGGGGAAAATGGGAGGGGAAATGGAGATAGGGTAGGAGGTGGAGGAAGGGGGATGTGGTTGAGGTCCATGGTACCCCCCCATTCTGGCAGGGGAGTCCAGGGAGCTTTTGGTGGCAGCTTGGTCGTACTGGGCTGGATGCAGATTTGGGGGGCGGAGCATGGCTGAGGCCCTCGAATGCTTTCCCCAACCCTGGGAGTCCAGGGTGCTTCTGACTGAATCTCCATTGTCACTGGGCTAGATGTGGAGGTCGGAGGTGTGTGGCTAAGGCCCTTGGCTCCCCTTGCGTTACATTTTAAAAGACTTAAATCCCTGAGGCTTATCTTTGAATTGCCATTTAAGAACCCCTGAGAAGTGAGGACTACTTAGTGTACTCATTGGAGAAATACTTTAAAAACAAAACCATCTATCAAAGTAATTAACATATTTCAAAGGAATTAATGTGTTTACCACTATGTAGGTCTCAGGAGAGAGGGAAAACATTTAAAGAAAAAAATTTTTTTTTTTTTTTTTAAAAGATGACCGGTAAGGGGATCTCAACCCTTGGCCTGGTGTTGTCAGCACCACGCTCAGCCAGTGAGCAAACCGGCCATCCCTATATAGGATCTGAACCCGTGGCCTTGGTGTTATCAGCACCGCACTCTACCGAGTGAGCCACGGGCCGGCCTAAAGAAAATTTTAATGAGAAAAACTTTGTGGCAAAGTTCATGTTTCCCAACTCTGTCTGATTTCAGAGCACATGCTTTGAATTTTGAAATTTATTGAAATTCAAACAGAGAAAGTAAAAAAAATGGAAAATATTGGCATGAGACAAGTGGATTAATTTTAAGACTTTTTCTCTTTTCTTCTTTGTTTCTCATTTTAGGCACTGTTGTTATGCACCATTTTCCATCCATTTCTTCGTATAACATGTCCTTTATTTCTCAAACCCAAGTGGGTGACAGCCAGGCATGGCCCAGCGTGACTGTTTGGTATAAGATGCAGCGTAAGTTTTTGCTCTCATTCCAGATCTAACAAAGTCTTCCCCACCGGTCAGTTGAGATTAGGAAAGCCACAGATAGCACTAGGTTCTGTTTTCAGCTCTTCCTGAGATTTCCATTTGCCTTTGAACAGGGTCCTTGCTTACCTGCCATTTGTTCTAGGACTTTTCTAGAAGCCATTGGCATTAGGCTCCCATCTAAAGGTATGAGAAGGCTAGTAATCATGCACAATCACCTGCCAGCTCCACACACACCTCCAGGCCCCTTCAAGCAAAATTCCAGACGCATTGGCCGTATCGCCTTATGCTCTGCTGGCCTTCGAGCTGGGGCTGGCATTGCCTTCACGGTCCTGCAGCTATGTCCTCAGCACAGCCCTATAATCATCTGACACTCACTATCTGTCACTCAAGGCCATGACTAAATGGGAAAGCAGAGATACCAATTTCTTCCGTGTTCATGTGTCTGCATCTCCTTTCTTTTGTTGTAGCTATCTCTGTCTACACAAATGGAACTGTGTTTGCCACAGACACAGACATAGCATTTGAAGCTGTTACCAAAGAAACAACACCCCTGGAGTTTGTGTGGAATTTTGGAGATGATCCACCACTGAGGACCACTTCAAGAAGCATTAAAAAAAGATTCAGCATCCCCCACTGGTAAAAAGGGCATCAGAATGGGTAGCTGTTTGTAGCACAGCCTGCACTCGGTCTGAGGATCATCGTGCTGCTACTAAAATCATTTTAAGGGTGTTGCCTTCGCATTATAATAAGCCGCTAAGTGCTTCTGTGAATGAACTCCAAAATAAGATTTAAAGGAAGAGGGACACACCTTCCTTTAGCTTGAACTGAGTGAAAAGGTGTTGGGCTTTGAAGTCAGGCGAGGCTGGGTTCACGTCCCTCTCAGCCTCCCATGTGACCTAAGGAATTCCTCATCTGAGGAAGGGTGGCGTGCTTACCCTACTGCTTTGTAAAGAGAATTAAATAACGAAGAAGTGGTCAGAAATATCACTCCCTTGGGCCGGCCCGGTGGCGCACTGCTACAGTGCGCCGCTTGGGAGTGCGGCGGCGCTCCCGCCGAGGGTTCGGATCCCACATGCAGACCGGTTCCCGCTCACTGGCTGAGCGAGGTGCGGGCGCAGCACTGAGGGTTGTGATCCATTGCCGGACACGAAAAAAGACAAAAAGGAAAAAAAAAAAAAGAAATATCACTCCCTCTTCTGCCCAGTAAGATGAAAATCACTGGGTACTGTGGTAGTTCTTACAAATTAAATGCCAACCCCCCTGCCTTTCTCTTGAAGACATATGGACCTTCTCCCTAGCCCTGAACGTGTTCTTATTCTGCCATCTGCCTTTCCTGCCCTCCTGGCCCCATCCTGCAGGTATCGTGTGACAGTCACGGCTTCCAACAGGATCAGCAGTGTGGTCTCTGAGCCCCACCTCATCAGGGTACAAAAGAAAATCGTGGCCAACCGGCTCATGTCCGCCTCCTCAGCTCTGGTAAACTCCAGTGTGACCTTTGAGTGCAGAATCAACTTCGGCACTGATGTTGCTTACCTGTGGAACTTTGGGGATGGCACCATCCACCTGGGGAACAGCTCCACCATTCACGTCTACAGGAGGTAAGACACCTCGGGCCAGCGGGTGCTTCCTGCAGACTGCCTGGAAGCGGCTCCTCAGGGCATCGGCACTCGGTTCCCCATAGCCGAATTGCCTTTCAGTCACTATAGGTGACAGATAGTTAAACAGAGACAAGTAAGACCCGGATCTGGCTGTCAGGAAGCTCATAGTTCTGGGAAAAGATGAAGAGGAAAAGAGATACTTTCACTACAGGGAGTACATGCACAGGGAGGCGTGAGGTGGGGGGACAACTTGTTCTTTGGGGACTGGAGAGCCAGCTCATGGGGGCATGTGCATGTGAGCTTAAGGTGACATCTTGAGTAAGAGTGTGCCAAAGGGACAAGGGGGGAAGGGTTGCAAACAGAAGCCATAGCCTGGAGAAGGCACAAGAGGTGGGCGCCAGTGGGAGAGGTGTGGGTGACTGGCAAGGTGTGCATAGGCTGGTGGCACTCATTGTAAAAGGGCCTTGGTGTCATCCTGAAGACTGTGAACACTGTCCTTTAACTGGGAATGTCCTGAGCACCCACTGTCTACCTGGGACAGAGAATTATGGAGATATAAGAAAGAGGCATGACTGCCTTTGCCCAAAATTAATGTAGCGTTTCCAGGGGGATGGCACGGCCCATGGGAAACTGCAGGTGCAAACCACAGGACTTCCACCTCTCAACGTTAGGAGGTGATAAAGTACAGGCTAAGGGGACCACTTGTTGCCAGCTCAGCCCCTGCTCAGGGTGAGTTCCAGGACCATGTCCAGGTCCCATAGCTGTGGAGAGACCAGCGAGGAGGAAGCTGAGCCCCAGTCCATGTGATGCCTTTGTGCTAGTGTAGGGAAATATCAGGGTGTGCAGAAGGATGCAGAAAATGAGGCCCATCTGGGGATGGGGAAGGTTGCAAACTTCCTCTAGTGCAGGACTTCCATGGGAAGCCACACCTGTGGGCTCTCCACACTCTGATGCAGACTCCTGAACGGCCCCATGACTAGCTATGTGTGTTAGTCTGTTTTTGTTGCTATAACAGAGTACCTGAGACTGGGTGATTTATAAAGAAAAACAACATTTATTGCTTACAGTTTCTGAGGCTGGGAAGTCCAAAGTCCATGTCGTGGTACATTGCAAGATGGTGGAAGCAGAGGGAGGAGAGAGAGAAAGACAGACTCTCCTCTTCTTTTAAAGCCCTCAGAACCATGCCCTTGATCACCATTTTTAATCCCTTCACTAATGCAGGGTCCTACAACCCAGTCAGCTCTTCAAGGATCCACCTTTCAGTGACCACAATAGGATTTCTCACCCTCTTAGCAGTCACAGTGGGGGCTAAGTTTCTAATACATAAAACTTGGGGAACACAGTTAAAGCTCCAGTGAGTTCTGGGGGGACATAATTCAGTCCACTACACTATGGATTCAGGACTTCTCCACTGGAAATTTCACAAGGAAGAAGTGAGCAATGGTGCCTGGTAGATTGCAGCATGTACTGGTGGGTGTCTGGGGGCCTGGTACCTGGCAATGTGCTCTGTAGCTCCTGGAGCCCTCTCTTGCCCTGTGGAGGTGACACGGCTTGTCTGGTGCTTCTATGCCCTGGGCTCTCAGGCAGCCTTTGCCAACTGTGCGTCCTCATTCCCGTCAGCAGGACCTTCCTTTCTTACCGGATGACCAGTGACATTCTGGTCCTTGCAAACTCAAATTGTGGCCTTCTGATGGGACTATTTTTCTGTTTCAGACTTAGAAGTCTATATGATTAGCCATGTTGTATCATTTGCAAAATAAACATGTATTTCCTTAGTGAGGTGAGGAGCTGCCAGCTTACTCCTGCTCCCCACAACCTGCCTCTCTCCACAGCGGGGACCCTCTACCCTCCCTGGGGGCTGGACTCATGTCCAGGCTGTGGATCTGTCATGCATCTCCTGAGTTTTCAGGACCCCCAAGAAATTGCTCAGGAAAACAGATACGTGGAGTAGGCACCAGAACAGGAAGATTGTGCCCAGAGACCCCAGTTACGGGTCAGGGGTTCTCATCCCACAGGGAAAACCCATGGTTTGGCCCTGTGGTCAACAGGACCCAGGGCAGGGCTGCTGGGAGGTTTGCCCAAAGAAGGAAGCAATACGCCCTCGTGCAGATGTATACTTTTGTGTAAAGCAGTGACATCGGTCTGGGAGTTTGGAGTCTGACCTGACTCACGCCAGGTGGGCAGCCAGTCTGTCAGTGGGACAGTGAATGACCTCTGTGGAAATCAACCTCATGACCCTTGCCTCTTCTGCTCTTGCACAGTGGGCTGACGTGCCATGCTGTAAGTTACAAGCACTCTCAGTGTGTAGGTCCAGGGTGGTTAGGGAGAGTGAATGAAAGCCTGACGTGTAGCTACAGTCAGTCTCCGCGTTTCTCTGCTCCCACTTCCAGGGAAGGAGAGTTCACAGTGGAGGTCCTGGTGTCCAACAGTGTCAGTGCCGCGGCCCTGAGCAAGCAACTTTTCATCGTGCGTGAGCCCTGCCAGCCGCCGCTGCTGCAGAACACGGAGCCTGGGATGGTCCAGGTAGGGCTGGCTTTTGGTGACGCCTCTGAGTTGGGATCCCTGTCTGGAGTGGCGAGAGCTTTGGGGAATGAAGTGAGGTTTTGTCTAGTTTTTCCTGCTGCATTTTGTACAAAGGAGCCCTTGGGAGGGGAGAGGCCCACCCCAGCCCCGATGGAGGGGGCAGCCTCTTGTTTCTGGTGTGTGAATAAGTCTTTGCCTGTGTTATTCTGGCACCCAGCGCATGTCGCTTCGGGGAGTATTTATTTATTTATTGTGTAGGGAAATGTCGTGGTTTTAGGAGAAAGGAAAGTTTGAATATATGTGACACCCAAAATCAAAAGAAATGATCTCTTATTTATTGAGCACCTTCTATGGGTTAGGACAGAAAGGGTTGCTTTTTATTTCTTTCATTCCTTGGAGGCCTTTGATGAAGAGCAAATTTTCCTTCACAGGGCAGAGGCACCCAAATGACACACGGGAATGAAAACCCGTGACTGAGCGCCATTTGCCAAATGCTTTCTGTGGCAGCCATGCCCCCAAGGGGCTGCTGCTCGGTCCCTTTGAGTCCCAGCTCTCAGCAACCGCACAGTGTGTCCGTGGAGATCAAGGGGCATGAGATCACGTGCGTGGGAGGGTCCTGTCCTCATAGGAAAGACCTCTGACCGCCGGCTAGGCTGGCACGTGCCCACGTTGTTGGGCCGTTCTGTGCAGGAAGAGACCGATCACGTGCGTGGGAGGGTCCTGTCCTCATAGGAAAGACCTCTGACCGCCGGCTAGGCTGGCGCGTGCCCACGTTGTTGGGCCGTTCTGTGCAGGAAGAGACCGAAGCCAAGGGCCACAGCGGGAGGAGCACAGGCCCTGGGCAGAGGGTCTGGCTCAAATCCTGACCCTGCCGTTAGGTGGAACCACGGGACACGCCTTTTGTCGAGGTTTTTATCCATAAGGCAAAGAGAACAATATCGATAATTCCATTTTTTTAGACTTTGCTTTATTTCACACATTTTCTAATAGTATGAAGAAAAAAATGGAATCAAGTGAAATCTGACGAGGAGGCGATAGCCATGCTAATTATCTGATGTCTTTACTTTCAGTGTTTTCCTAACGCTTTTTGTATGTGTGGGGTGTGTGTGTGTTTGCTTGTGTTTGTGCGTGCATGTGTTTAAACACAAAAGTGGGATCACTGGTTTACAGTGTGACTCTTTTCTCTTGTTACTAAGTAGTCTTTTGATGACATATTTTAATGGCAGCAGAATGTTAAGTCATGTGTACAAGTTATATATCACTTAACCATGTCCTCATTGTTGCACTTTTGTCTTCCCAATTTTCTATCACTCCAGATAACTTGGTGATGATGTTCTGTATGCACCTCGTGCTGTAGGTATGGGCATTTCCACAGGAATAGTTCCTAGAAGCTGCAGAACTGTTATAGAAGGATATGGCCCCTTTCCCAGCTCTGTGACAAGCCATGTCCTTCTGTGGCCCTCACGTGTCAATGCCCAGGATGCAGCTCTCACCCCCACTGGGTGTTTCATATTTTTAATGTTTGTTATTAATAGGCTAAAAATGGCATATCAGTATTAAAATTTGCTGTGACTCTTACAAATTCTGGACAGTTTTGTGAGAAATCCTACAATGGTATTATATTTGGAGTAGAAACAATAAAAACAATTGGAAAGTAATTTAAATTATGACTAAAGTCACGTATAGAATGCCAAAATTCCATTTATAATGAGTACCAGTATTTCTTAAAATCCCATGTCTCAACTCTCTCCAGAAGTTTTTCCCTTTCCAATTTTTACGAAACCTTCAGGAACAGTGTCCTCCAGGGAGAGCTCTTGCAACCCAGCATCGGCCCTAGGGCGGGAGGTGCCCCTGGCTGGGCAGAATCCTTATCCTGAGGTCGTTCATGCTCAGGGACGACGAATCTGACTCAAGTAACACCCACACTGGTGTGTGTGTGTGTGTGTGTGTGTGTGTGTTTGTGTTGGGGGGCACAGGGGCTGGCAAGGACAAGTGTGTGGATGTGCAGGTGCTAATATTTCCCCTGTGTCTTCCCTGTCCTTTAGGCTTGTTAATGTTAACTCATATGTTTTATATATTTGTGAACTGCTACTTACATTTAAATGTTTTAATTCTGGAAAATTTGAAGCATAAATAAAAGTAGAAAGAATAGTGCAACAGACCCATCACTTTCAAAGACTAGCCGGGTTGTATCAGGAAGGCCCAACTTCTTACTCTAGTATGGTAATTAGGGAAAGAAATAAGCATTTATTCTTGCTTTCCTGAACAAACGTAAGTTAAAAAACCTCATAGTCCTAACTGATGAGAAAAACTTTTCTTTTTTTTTTGCCCTCTTTCTTTTTTTTTTCTAAACAAAGGAACTTTTGTGCATCCCACATCAAACAATTTGCATACAGCTATGTTTTGGGAAAACTAGAAATATTTGATTTGAATTAGAATTTGATAGAATTATATTAAGAAGTCATTGTTAATTAATATACATATATTTAGTATTTGGGGACTAAATGTCATGATTTCTGGGAATGACTTTAGAATATCCCAGCAAATGGGCCAACCCCGTGGCGCACTCGGGAGAGTGCGGTGCTGGGAGCGCTGTGGCGCTCCTGCCGTGGGTTCGGATCCTATATAGGGATGGCCGGTATGCTCACTGGCTGAGCGCGGTCACAAAAAAGGAAAAAAAAAAAAAAAAAAAAGAATATCCCAGCAAAGAAAAAGATAAAGTAAGCAAATATTTGCCATATATATTGCAAATAATTTTCTTTTTTATTCTATTGATTGTTTTTTACAATTTGCATTTTTGATATTTAGAAGTTCAAAATGTTTATGTAATCAAATCTATTAACCTTTTTCTTTGATATTTTCCCATTAATTTTATGCTTAGAAAGTTGTTTATTCCATTATGAGTGTTTAAGTATAAATATTTACTTATTCTTCTTGTTTTTATATTTTTAATTTTTACTTTTGTCTTTTTTCTGTGCCTTCTTAGCCCAGCCCTAAGTATAAAAACAAATAATTGAAGATTTACTGTTGAGAGTAAGTTTCCAGTAGTTTGCCATTGCATTAGCTATGATGGACCTTGAAATGAGACATCTTCTCTTTCAATTTTTAGATATGGAGGTCTCAGCCCCTGAGACTGGGAGTGACCCTTGAAGCTGCTGTCCTCTGTGACATTTCCCAAGGCCTTTCTTACACCTGGAGCTTGATGGGCCCTGATGGGTCCCCCGTCCCCCTCCCTGCTTCTGTTGACACCCACAGACAGACCCTTGTGCTCCCGAGCTACGCGCTGGAGTCCAGGAACTACACCGCCCTTGCCAAGGTCGGCTTGCTGACTTACTGTACTGCTGCCAAATGCTTCCTCTCCACTTCAGTATTTATCACATTGTGAATGGGGCCAGTGAGAACTGGCAGAGCTACACAGGGTGACCAGCCACTCTGTGATTGGTGTTGCTTTAAATGCAGTCCCAGAAAAAGTTGAAGGTTTCTGAGCACAATGCACACTCCTCTTTGGAAACAGTAACCGGGAAACAGTTGGCAACAGGTTGAAGGATGGGAGGTTGGGGGAGTATTCTAGCAGTGAGATAATTAGAGCCTTAACAGGTAGGTAGCAGCAGTGAGAATAAGAGCAGGGTAAATATGGGGTGGATTTAGGGGGCAGGTGAGGAGCAGTTGACTTGCTGTGGTGAACAGATGTAAGAATCAAAGGGAAAAATCAAAAGAAAATCTGTGAGACCAGGTGAGTGGAGGAGAGAGAGGCTGCACTTCATTCTCTAACGAGGACGGGGTGCCTGCTTGTGACCTGCCGTGTGCAGGGGGAGGGATGTGCAGGTGGATAAGGCTTGTGCACATTTGTGCACGACCTCCCAGGGGGAGGCAGACGGAGCCCAGGCTGCTGCAGAAGGTGGGGTTCAGGTGCTAATGGAGAGACGTGGGGGCTCAGGGCAGGAGTGGCTTGATGAGGCCATCCTGGTTGAAGGTTCGGGGACGTGTTCCCAAATGGGGTCACATGCTTGGGGGCAGGGGCTTGTGGTTTGGGTGGGGGCAGTGAAGCTGAAGACAGCCTGGGATCTTCCAAAGGTGGTGGGAAGGCGGGCATGAGGGGAGAAGAGGGCCTGGGGTCAGGCGGTGACCTGGGTGTTAGGCGAGTGGAGGCTGCTGTGGGGAGGCTGCTGGGGTGGTGTCCATCCGAGAAGCGCAGCGGACGGCAGGGAGGCAAGGCTGGGTGGGGGCGAGGGGAGCTCAGCCTCACCAGGCTGGGAAGCTGCATCCTTGCGGATGGCAGGAGGGGCAAGGCTTGCTGTCATCCCTGCGTAATGTAATCAGCATCATAAAGATTCATGTTGCCAGTTTCACTGAAGTTTAATTTTAAAATAGTGGAAATGTTTTATTAGTTATATTCTAAAATAAAACATCACTTGTTCCTGATTGTGTTTTTTCTGGGTTTATCTCAGTTTATAACTTTTACTTTTCACTATCACGTTGACAAGAGCAAGTAGGTTTTCTGTGTCTCTGGCTAATTGTGGGATCTCTTCGGCACTGTGGTTTCTTGGAGGCAGGTACCTAGGGTGGTACGTTACAGCCAGACTGAGTGGTCCAGAGGCAGGACTCGCGTAGGGTCATGGTGGGGCCATCCTCCGTCAGCCTTAACCTCCTGTGTGCCAGTTGGAGTGGGAGCAGGAGGAAGGGTGCTCCCTGGACAGGCCATCTGGCCAAGCTCATACTGGTGTTCATCCACATGTGGTCCTCAGCATTGCCAGCCACAAGTACCATTGTCACTCTAGGAAGGAATCACCATTCTTTAGGGCTGGCTCATGCTGTGTAAGGTCACAAGTGAGCGCCACATGCCTCAGCAAGTCAGGAGAAAAGGAGTTGACAGAGTGGTCCGGGGTTCCCTTTCCAGCTCCGTGAGAGCGCACTGGAGTACAAGGAGGCAGGTGGGATGACGTGGCCCTTGAGACTGGCCACAGAGAGTCTGGTACTCAGCTGTTGACTCGGGACACTGGTGCCCTCTCCTGGCCATGTGGGAAGGGTCAGGTTAGGGCCTTGCTTACTGGGCAGTAGGCTCCTGCCTTTCTCTAGGCGTGGAGACCTCCTGAGGGATACTGTGCTCTTGTGTCTCTGATCTTGGCACTGTATCCGATGTCCAGTAATCAAGCCCTGAGGTTTCAGAATTCCCCACCTCCGCACCTTCCACAAGCAGCTTCCCAGTCTCTGCTTCCTCCACCATCTGCAGACCTGGGACACCCTCAGCATTCGTTGGCTGCGGCAGCTGAGCAAGCAGAGGTGGAGGTGCACATGGCAGTTCTGATCATACAGTTGTTCCTCCGTCTTGGGTCCCACTCAGGAGACTGACCAGCAGGGGACTGTGTGCGTCAGTATGAAGGAAATCCAGAAGGAATGAGGTTGAGACCCAGGGACAAGAGCGGCAGGTGTTAGACTGCATTTTTTCCAAATTGCATCAAACTTTCAAAGGAAAGTTTATTTATAAAATAAATAATGCCTTATTTATAAAATGTGTCACTCTCCCTGAGTTTAAAAGTATTTATCTTAAATTCCATTTACATTTCTTAAAGTTTGTAATATGTTTCAGGGCTAGGAAGAAGTAGCTTAAAGAAAGGTAAAGAAAGCTAGACAGGAGCCAAGCCCTGTAGCAATTCACTGTCGTGGTTATTGGAGGTTTGAAAACTGTACAGCAAGTGCACACATGAAAGTCGTGTTGACAAACCCAGGAAAATCCCAGCTTTGTTCACTAACATGGACTTGGAGACAAAAATGTTCATCTCTGCAGGACTCCAGCCCCGTCTCTGATGGACGCACAGTAGGTTGGCAAACCTGACTGGTTTAGTTGGAGTTGATGAGGTATTTAGGCTGGCCAGTTTCCTCTCTGGTTTTGAGACGAGCGCGTAGCTGCAGTGAGCACCCTGTCTTGTCTGTGGGTGATGCCCTCTGTCCTTGGCTTGCAGGTGCAGATCGAAGGCAGCGTGGTGCATAGTACCTACCGCGTGGGCGTGGATGTGCGAGCCAGGGCCCCCGTCAGCGTGATCTCCGAGGGTACACACCTGTTCATCCCCAGGACGACTGTGTCCCCCATCATCCTCACGGGCTCCCAGTCTTTTGACCCCGATAATCCCGGGGCCACTCTCAGGTGCATACCACGGAGCTGAACTCTGCCTTCTCCAAACTCAGGCTCTAGAATGTTGGGAGAGTTGGTGTTAGAATTCTGTCAAAATTGTTTAAAAATTTTTAAGTATGACAACTTTCATAAGTTGGACTGTTTTGTTTAGGACAAAATATACAGGAATTTAGGAAGGGGGTGGAAGTGAACCACGAGCAGCCTTTGAAGGCGGTGTTTGAAGTAGGAGCTATTTTGGAGTGAGGAGTTGAATGTTACCTCAGCGTTAGAATTCTTGGCTGGTGAGATGCCTTCGGTGCATGGGAGGCTTGCACATCTCTGTGGGCGGGTCTCTTGCTGTTGGGGTTCCCAGCTTAGGCCTTGTCCTCTTCTCTATCTGTACCCCTCCCTGGGCGGCCTCACCAGTGACCTGACCCTGATCCACCTATGATCCTTGTGCCAGTAGCATCCCATGCATCCCATGTGGAGCTCCCGGGGCTCCAGGCTGTGCGGCCCAGCCCCTGCAGCGTGTCCTGTCCCATGCCAGAGACATTCCAGCCACAAACCTGCCTTTTCTGTTGGGCTTCCGCATCTTTGCCCAGAAGCTTCAGCGGCACCTCTGACTTCTCTTTTGCTCTCATGTCACCTGCCACCTGTCAGGAATTCCTGTCGGCCCTCCCTAAACACCAATTCCGCACCCCTGCTACGTCCATTGAATACAAGCCCCAGGAGGGCAGGGCTCTTTGGCATGTAGTAGCTATGCCATCAATATTTATGGGTGAGTAGAGGAGGTGTTTTGTTTTCCTATCCCTGTGATCACACCCATGTTTGCTGCACTCCAGGCATGGGGGTTGGTGTTTCTTAGTCCCGTGGAGGTGAGAGGCTCCATCCACGCACGTGCTTGGGCAAAGCTCCCAGATGGCCACACGCCTCCCTCCCCTGCAGCCCGAGGAGGCAGAGGCTGGCTGCTCATCTCGGCACCCAGCATGGTGCCCCAAACGAGCTTAGTGTGTGGCCGCTGGAATGAGCTGAACTGTCTCCTGAGAGTAAAGGGTATCCCAGCTGAACCCCCGTGGCAGTTGCTGCACAGGGCGTGTGAGTGGGCCCCCTAGCTGTCTGTGTTGGGCCGTCCCGAGAGGGGCTCCTGGCCAGTGAGGTGGTGAATAGGCCGTTGCAGCCACCTCGTGCAGCCTTTGGAAACAGAGAGGTCTAGGATGTGGTACCTGCGAACAGACAGGAAGATGCACCTTGGAAAGATCAACAGCAATGCACACTTAGGTAGCACTTGCCGAAAGGGCTCACCGCTGCAGGGTTGGCCCAGGCCCTCCCAGCCATGGCATTTCCATGAGAGCGGTTCCTCCCTTCTGAACTACCTGTCCAAGTGTGTGTCCCCTGCTAGATCAAGTCCTCCTCAAGGGGGGGATGGTGCTGTGTTCCTGCTTGACCCCGATGAGCAGCCATGTTTATCTTGCTGAATATGGCAGTTGTCATGTTGCAGGAAGNAGTGTGTGTCCCCTGCTAGATCAAGTCCTCCTCAAGGGGGGGATGGTGCTGTGTTCCTGCTTGACCCCGATGAGCAGCCATGTTTATCTTGCTGAATATGGCAGTTGTCATGTTGCAGGAAGATGGGGGGATGGGAGGAGACTCCTGGATTCTGTCTGCAGACCTTGCCTGTTACTAGCTCTGGGACAGGGCAGCTCCCAAGTCCTCCAGAACACATTTTCTTCCTAAACTTGGGCTACTGTGGCATTCCTGTCTGTCACATGAGTTATCACAAGGATGAGATGCAGTGTCTGCTGAGTGCTTGAGACGAGGGGGCAGAGATGTGAGCGGGACGAATGTTGCCGTACACAGGGAGGGGGTGGGAAGCCTGGGGTGGCCGGGGAGCAAGAGGTGTGTGGAGTCGGGCCTTGTGCCCTGTGTCATAGGGGCCGGCCCACCCTGCCCGAGCTGGCGGTGCCCCTCCACTTCTGGAGCCTCCCACCTTACCTGTGGTGGAGAATGAGGGAAGCCTGAGGAGAGCCCATGCAGTGGCCCACAGTGGTCCCCTGGCCCTGGCTGATGCTTGCGGTCAGCCCCTCCATGGCTGCTCCAACANCCTCCCACCTTACCTGTGGTGGAGAATGAGGGAAGCCTGAGGAGAGCCCATGCAGTGGCCCGCAGTGGTCCCCTGGCCCTGGCTGAGGCTTGCGGTCAGCCCCTCCATGTCTACTCCAACAGGTACCACTGGGAATGCTCTGCTGCCAGCTCACCTGGGTGTCCCTGCTTTGACAACTCTGCACCACACCAACTGGATGCCGGGGCTCCCACCATTTCCTTCCCAGCGCAGTGGCTCAGTGACAGCTATGACCAGTTCCTTGTGACGCTGACGGTCTCTAGTGGTGGCCGGAACTCATCTGAGGCCCAGGTGTTCCTGTCCACTCGCTCTGACCCAGCCTTCAGGTACCGCCTGCCCTGCATCCTGTACAGCTCAGCTCCGCAGGGGTTCATGCCTGGCTGGTGTTGGCAGCCATGATAGGAATCAGCTGTGCATGGCAAGCTGTTTGGGGTCTGGCCATGTAATGTCCTCACTGCTAAGAAGGAAGAGGGGATGGTCAAGAAGGGGCTGGGAATTGGGTCCTGCTCTTGGGCTGACCTGAGGGCAGTGTCCAATGGGCAGAACATGCTGGCTAAAACCAACGCAGTGGGGGCTCCTCATGGGACCTGAGAGGTGAGGCTCCCCTCCCATCACAGCACCTGCCCCCAAGATGGGGACTGTTCCGGGGCTTGTGGACAATGCCAGAAGGAGGCAAAGCTGTTGAGTTCCCAGCCAGGCATCAGTGCCACGGGGATACTAGCGTGGGCCTGGTTGTGACATCTGAGACCGTGAAGGTTGGGGGAGCAAAGAAAGGCTGTGACCAGAACTCGAATCCCTTTGCCTCTGAGGCCAGAACAGCACCCATGGGTCATGTGCAGCCCCCAGATACCAAATGCCAGGACGAAGTCGAGCAGCAGGGGCAGGTGTGGGCTGCAGCTGTCTCCCGTCTCTCCCTCCTAGGGGGTAGCCTCATTAAAGACGGGAAGGGGGGGTGGAGCTGGAAACCAGGGCCCACCTGCTTTGGCCACTCCCCCTGTGGAGGTAGAAGCTGGCATCTGCTCAGGAAACAGTGCTGGGACTGACCCACTGCACCCAGCCTGCATGTCACCTGAAAGGCTCCAGCAGGCAGGACTACTTCCATCACTGACCTCTGCAAGGGGTGGGTGAGTTCTGGAAGGCTTACTGGAGAAGGAAGCAAATCTGCTGTCCTCAGACTGCTTGGAGGGAGACTCCAGACTGGAATTCAGGGTTTCAGTATTGAATCAATGAAAATAAGGCTCAGTAGATAAGAATGGGCCATGCCACAGTGGCCTTGGGTTCACACAGAAGTGCTGGGAGTCCAGACAGAACGAGGTCCTTCATGTTATTTAAGCCTCCAGATACATATTAAATGACGAAATGCCAGCACAAGGCTACAAAAGTCAGGGCATAATTTAAATCATTCGATTTAACAAATGGAACACTTTTATTCCAAAAATATAATGTGTTTTATAATTCTGCCACTCACAAGATAATTATAGAATTTGTTTTAAAATATGCATTCACTGTGTGCTAGAGAAGCTGGGTGAGCATCTTCTTTCGATCCTGTCAGGAATGATTTGGGCCTGAGTGGAAGACGTCCCTGGGAGGTCTGGGGCCGGGTGGGCCTCTCTTTGCCCATGTTCACTCCACCCCATCCCACCACTCACGCACACACACGCAATGCACACACACACACGTGCATATCATACACAGAGACACACGTGCATGCCCACACATACGGACAAGCTCCCAGTGCCTGACGATTAAGCTGTGTGTGGGAAAGCCGTGCACCACACACTTGCTCAGGGTCGCTACTGGCCTTGGCCTTTTAAAGGCTCCCCAAGTCCCACAGGAAAGAGATCATTTAATGGGGCCTAGCACAGCAATCCCAAACCACCGGCCATATCTTGAAGAGCCATACTCCACAAAATGCACCTGGAAAGTGCTAAGTCTGCAGAGACAGAGACACTTGTCAGGATGTGGCCGCAGCGGTGCAGGCCACAGGGAAGTGGGATGTGGGGCAGCCCAGGAGGAGGCAGATGGCGACTTCTTTCTCTGTGAGCATCCGAGGCTGCGAATTGCAAAGGCAGACGGCTGCTGGAAGGGCCCAGGTGAGGTTTGTGGTTGGTGGAGGTGAGGAGAGACTCTCTTGTGGAGAGCTTGGTAGAGCCCAGGCTCAGGGGACGTGGAACCAGGCCCAGGCCTGGCTCTGTCCTCATCTCTGTGCAACCTAGGGAAAGTAACAAAGCCTCTCTGAGCCCGTGGGGTGCTAGGGTGCTGTCCTCTAGGGTCTCCCAGTGTCGGGTCAGATTGTGCTGGTGTTGGCCACTCCTTGCCTGTACTGCTGTGTGGGCTATGATGTTGCTATTGAATTTACAGAGTAAAGATCCAATGTAGGGCGATTTAAACATGCCAGACACAAATGAATGTGGCCAAAGGACCCTCACATTATTTTCCTAAATCTCAAACCAATTTGCATGTCCCAGATTCATCCACATCTCCTGGGTGAACTTTAAAGGCATCTTTGTCAACTGGAATGAGGAACTTTCTCTTCAAGCTGTGTGTGAAGACTGCGGAGAAACACCAAATCTCTCTTATTCCTGGGATCTCTTTTTAGTCAATGCAACAGAAAAGGACAGGATAGAAGGTAAAAATGCTTGTTTGCTTTACTTTGTTGACTGAAGAAAAAACTCAGGGTTATGATGAGATTGCTAAGAATTTGCACATTACGAGTGATCTGACCCAGGGTGTCTCATCTGCCCTGTGGCCTGCTTTTGCTTTCTCGTCCCTCTTGCTTCTTCACGCATGTGCACGGTTGTGGGGTGTCAGCAGTAGAGCTAAGACTGATCCCAGCACTCATGTAGGTGATTTTATTAGTTTAAAGCCACGCGAGCTATTCAGAGGACCCTAGGTGTGGCTCACTGTCCAGAGGGTCTTGTCTCTCACCACTTGCTTGTCCTTCAGGGCAGCCGCACAGTGAGGCTCTGGACCATACCACGCTGGTGTCGAGCTCAGCGCAGAGAAGACAGGGCAGGGGACTAGCTCCAGTCTTCACTCCTGCATAGGCTGGAGACTTTAAGCAACTCCGAGATTCAGTTTTCTAGGGTGGAAGATGGGGATCACACTCCTTTACAGAGTGGTTGCAGGGTCAGATAAGAGATTGTGTCTGGGCATGTGGGCCCTGGTGATGGGAGCCTGACCTGCAGGTGCTGTGGTTCATTCAAACCTGGAGCGAGATGGAATTCTCCCTTGGTGATATCTGTGATCAGAGGGATGGCTCTAAATGGAAACAGAGGAGCTTTATTCCAGAGGTGGAGAGCTGGCTCTTCTAACAAAGCTTGTGCCAAGCCTCCTCTGACCTTCCACATTTTTAAAAATCCATTCAATGGGCCATACAAAGCTTCCATAAGTAGAGCTCTGAGTGCAGCTGGCCTTGGTGGCTCAGGGGACAGGAGGACAGAAAGTGCAACTGTGCCCTTCCTTGCAAGAGCGGCACTCCCAGATTCTTCTAGGTAAATTGAATTTTCCTGAATCAAAGATCAGGCTGAGTGGATTAGAGGGGCTTACACTGGAAACATACCCAGTGGTTAACCTTTCAGCAAAGCCAATGATTGCTCCTAGACAGATGCATCCCAAAGACCCGGGCTCTCCCAAGGCCGCGAGTAAAAGCTGACTGTATGGGGAGGTCATGTGTATGTTCACAGCACTTCCTTCTTTGCTACTGATCCTTTGTCATAAATTCTAACAACAATCTACAGCATCATTATATTAGATAGTTATAGACAGGTAGGGACATAGGCTCTCCCAAGGCCGCGAGTAAAAGCTGACTGTATGGGGAGGTCATGTGTATGTTCACAGCACTTCCTTCTTTGCTACTGATCCTTTGTTATAAATTCTAACAACAATCTACAGCATCATTATATTAGATAGTTATAGACAGGTAGGGACATGAAGATTAGGAGAAACTCCATGTGCCCCCAACTGTTTCTAGAATATACGTGAATAACCCATGGGACGGTGTGTGGCTTTGGCAGGTCCCCTCAGGTCTGTGTGGGGGCTGGACAGGTGGTTATGAGCCCTGTGTCCCACTCATGCACATTCGCTTCCTGCTGTCCACCTACATGCCACCAGGCGAAAACCACGCTCTGTGGCCTTTATCTCTTAAGTGTAGGTTTTCAAATTCGCATCAGGTTTGTTAAAGCAGAGCAGGCTTATACAATTTTAGACTTGTTAGGAGCCAGTGTTTCGCATGTTTGGTCTAAAACCATAATACATGGCACGGGTTCAAGCTCCCTTCTGCAGAGCGCTGGAACTGCTGGGCTCCTTGGGGCTCTGGGCCGCTTGGAAGTCAGCACCATCAGACCCGCCGTCCACTGAGCTGCAGCTGGGACACCCCGAAGTGAAGACCGCACCTTTGTCACGGGGGCCTTCCCCCCACACCCTTGGCCAGCCTGCCCCTTCGGCCACAGGGAGCACCTCCACAGTGTCCATGGTGGGCGTCCACCAGACTCCTGCTGCTGGCGACTCTGCAGTCCTGGGGGAGGCACACACGGAAGGACCACCAGAGCCAGAGTTGGGGCTTTGGAGTGAGGTATCCCTGATGACTGGCCTCTCTGAGAGCAGCTGGCCCCCACACGACCCCTCCCCTCCCCTCTCTGGTAAGTGCCACCATCCCTGCATGTTGCCACTCTTGTCTGGGCATCCTGGTCACCTTTGGGAGGAGAGAATCTGGTGTGTTAGGTGCGAGATCACATCAACATGGGCCTTGACATCATGGAGCGCCTGGCCCGCCCCACCACGTGCTAGCTGTGCGAGCTGAATCCAGCCTGGGGTCCTCACCCACAGCACCTCTGCGGCAGCTCCTGCAGGTCTCCTGTATGCAGAGTCTGGGCATCTGGTCCACATCAGCGTCCTCGTCCTCTCCTGCCCTAGTGATCAGTTGCTTCACTTTATCATTGGGTTTCAGGAGGAAAGAAACTATTTTTGTGCTTAAAAATTGATAGAAAAGGTAATTGTCGGTGGGAACAACCTCAGCTGCACTCCCGTGCAAAGGCCATGGCACACCAAGGCACCAAGCCTTGGGTGGGTTGGCGGGAGGGGAGCTACTCAGCCTTCAGGAGAGCAGGGCTGAGGGGACAGAAGGTGACATCAGAAGCAGGACGCTCTTATATCCATTCCTCTCCTTCTAAGAGAAAAGAGCAAGAAGTGTTGTCTACAAGAACACCCAAAGGCTGTCTTGAAGAGGGGATGAGTCCTGGGCATGGATCAGGGGGCTGGGTGGGAGCCTGGGTCCTCCCACTCACTAGCCGGATTATTCTAGAAACCACACAGCTGCTCGGGCTCTAGCTCCTCGGGGGTCCTGGGACAGCGGCACCTGCCTCCCCTGCTGTCATGAGGGGAGACGCCACCACCGAGAGGGTGCTGTGATGTGCAATGCAATGCACAGACTCTAAAATAGAGCGGGGACAAGTGATCCATCAGGACAGTCGGTATTAATTTAAGGGGAGTGTGTGGTTTTAATGAAACCTTGTGATTTTGTCCTTTCATATAGATTTTGAAGCCTATTATAGTGATATCCAAGAGGCAATACCAGCCAAAGGAAGACAGCCAGGTGACTATGATTTGTCGTCGCTGCCTCTCTCTGGAGCCCCCAGTCCAGGCTCCCTTCTCCCCAGACTCCCCTCCACACCCTCTTCTGTAGCCCAGGTTGTACCTTGCCCTTACACCAAGGCCACTGAGAACTGCAGAGCCAAAGGGGAAGCTTAAACTCCTTTGCACGGCACAGTCTGGCCACACCTTTAGTTCTAGCTCACTCACTTCTGCACTTCTCGCACCCTGTGCTCCAAAATCCAGAGTGGCCCCAGGCCCACTGGTGGGCAGCCCGGCTAGGTCATGGGGTGTTGTTCCAGGTCTGGTACCACGTCCCCCTCTATGGAAAGTCTCCCTCCATGCTGTCTTGTCATGACCCCCCACCAGTCCAGTGTGTTATTCCCCACGTGTTGAAAGCAGGTGGCACCTGGCAATCAATGACTCTTTCTGTGTCTGTGTCTCCTACTCTGAGATCTTTAAGGAAAGCTTTTATGGCTAGTTCATGCTTGTGTCCCCAGAACTATCACAGTGCCTGGCACACTGACACTCGCTGAGTACATTGTTGAATGAATAGATGATCAGTGAATGGTTTATTTATCTATCAAATGGATAGATAGATGGCGTGTATGATTTATCTGTTGAACGAGAAGATGGATGATCAGTGAATGATTTGTCTCTCAGATTAACAGATGGATTATAGTGAACAGACAGAGAGGCTCAGGAACACCAAGTATGTTGTACTCCCAGGTCCTAGAGACAGGAGGCGCGGCAGGCCTCACGGGGCCACGCAGGGGAGGCCTCAGGGTGTCAGGAGGCAGAAGACAGGAGCCGGAGGTGCTTAGGCCTTTGCTGGGGTTTCCGTGGGAAAGGCAAGGCAGGCAGGGTTAGCAGTTTGAGTAACTTTGCAGGGCTTTAGACTATCGGGGTGTCCCCTAGTTGCCGGGCCCCTGGCCCTGGGATGATTAAGGCAGAGGAATATTGCTTCCTGGGGTGCAAGGGCCAGAGGGAGGAGGTAGGATCTGGATCGGTTAGTCCGCATATCCAGGGCGTGCTCCAGGTTGGGCCCTTCGCTGTCTCTAAGAACTGGCTAGCCAGTGGGGGGTTGGCACAGTCTCTCCACAGCAAGAAAGGTTTTTAAGATGTCAAAACATCAAAATATTCTGAAAACTAAAAAATATTTACAATCTATTTTAGGGGCTTGTATTTACACTCACAGTAGGTGATTACTGAATGTTATATGAATAAAGAATATGTATGCCTTGGTACTGCACTCATAAGCTACTCTTCCTGACAGGAGTAGTTCTAATCCCTCAACATTCATCATTCTATCATTCTATCCTGCTTCAAGGACCTTTACTTGAGGTCTTGAATCAGTATCTTACCCTGAGCAACGTCCATGGAGTAGCCTTTGACACGTCTCTGCTCCTGTTCTTGTGGCCTCCAGTCATCTCACTACCCGACAACCAGGAGACTTTTCTGACTGCAAACCGGGTTGTCCCTCCCCTGACCAGTCCCTCCAAGGGCTTCCTGCCGCACTTAAGACAAGAGCAGGGTACAGGGGTGAGGCCCAACACGATGTGGCCCCTGGCGGAGCCTCCAGCCTCGTTTCCCACCGTCTTGCTCCTCCTCAGTTCCCCGCCACCCACAGGAGGTCGTTCCCACAGCCTCTGACACCTCTCCCTGCAGACCTTCAAAGAGCTCCTTCAAGTCCCTGTTCTGAAACCACTCCTGAGTGAGGACCTTCCTGACGCCTCCAGGAGGAGCTCCCTTTCCACTCCCCCTCTCTGCATACCCTGCTTTATTTTTCTTCATTACACTTATCATTACCTGTGTTTATATTATTTATGTGTTTGTTTTTTATTTTTCTGACTCCCTCACTATGAAATTCCAGATAGCAGGGACTCCAGTGATGTGGTTCACGCTATTTCTCCAGTCCCTAGACTAGTACCAGGACTTAGTAGACCATACTAAATCTTTGTTGAATAAATGAAGGAAGATGCGATTGGACAACTAATTATATAACAAAGTACATCTCTTCAATATGTTTAGTTGCTGAAGGCATTATTTTAGATATGCAGTATCCAGCAATAATAGAAATATTGGTACCAATATCGAATCATTAATGCTTTAAGAAGATCATCATGACTTTTATCATCCATTGACTTAGTTTATCTTCTTAGGGAATAACACCAGCCTTCCAGGATCAGAATCAGGTGCAAGAGCCGAGGAGAGCCCTGGCGACGGGGATAACCTGCTGGGCCCTTTCCTCTTGGCAGGCAGAGCCGTGCCTACCCTCCTGATTGACTGGCCCAAGGCCCTGGTCAGCCGAGCCGTTTTCCAAGGCTACACCTCATCAGGTATGAACACCCTCCTTGAATCCTGGAATTTGCAGCTGGTTCAGAAGAGTTTGGGGAACAGCCTCAATTTCTTGGCAGGCAGAGCCGTGCCTACCCTCCTGATTGACTGGCCCAAGGCCCTGGTCAGCCGAGCCATTTTCCAAGGCTACACCTCATCAGGTATGAACATCCTCCTTGAATCCTGGAATTTGCAGCTGGTTCAGAAGAGTTTGGGGAACAGCCTCAATTTCTTCTGTAACTTTCCGTTTTAATAGATAACGTATTTGGAATCATGGTACCTTTTCTACTTGTGTTTGTCCCTCTGTGGACTTCAACCTGAGGCCTTTTACCAAAGGTAGAATTAGTCTCTGTGACCTACCAGGAGCTCCATGTTTGCATACCACAAGGGGAAGGGAGGCACTGCTGAGCTGAGCTGGTGTTTCTGAGTGCCCAAAACCCCGTGTCTCCACATCTGTGTGGCCTTTGATAGGGTGGATGAGCCACTTACATGAATTGGTCAAAATGAAGTTGTTTCTGAAGAACGGTTGAACTGTTATCTGATTTCCCCAGCACAGACATGCTAACTTGTTGGATGGCCGCCTTTCCTATGATACATGAGGTTATCTTATCCCTATAAACCTCTCAGGGAGGCTCTGGCTTTCACACTGTTTTTAGATGATTTCCTTCTCACCCTTTCCTAGAAACATTTCAGGAAGTATTGTTTTAAAATGATGATGTTTAAAAGCTGTCCCTGTTCAGATCGTCAGTCTTGTGTTTTGGATCTTTCCTGCTTTCAGGGTGAGCAGTGTGGGGTCAGCCTCTCCCTGCTAAGGAAGTGATCCGGTCACCGTGGCCAACAATTACACCCAGATTAAGAATTTTTCCTAACCAATATCCTGCAAAGACTTGAAAAATTGCTTTGAAATACCATAATCTTACTTCCTAGGTAAACCAAATTTATCAAACAGACAAATTAAACACTGAACCTAACTATAAATATATAAAATAAGATCTTACCTGCATCTTCTTGTTGCTCAGGAAATCAGTATCATTTCCAGGCCAGAGGTGGCTGGTCCACTCTCGCTGTTGTGTCTATTGGACAGGGAGGCCTGGAGATGAGCTTCTAGCTCTTTAAGGAAGTCTGGGAACCCACAAACCAGCGGCATTTGCAAGTAGGAATGGCAGCTTAATAGCACCTTCTCCCCCGGGACTCTGGCCACATGTCCCCAGTCCACTGATTGTCCTTCCCACGTAGCCACCTCCTTTTCTGCAGGAATTACAGAACGGGCTGTGACAGTAAAGCCTTACTCACTGAGCAGCGGAGAGACATATGTCCTGCAAGCGTCTGTGGGTATGTTACACTGTCGGTTGGGTTTGGTGCAGGGAACCATGAGGGCTTTGATCCTATTCATACATTTTCCTGGAAATGAAATAAGATAATATATGAACAGCGTCTAGCAGAGCACCTGGTACAGAGCACAGGCTCCATCAGTGGTACCTGCTACTAAATTATCATTGAGCTTTAACAACTTGACATGTAAATCTCGCTCCTGTAAATCATCTCAAGAAAAATGCATTAAAAGTTTAAAAAAACTGTATGTATGAGAATAATCACTATTGGATGACCAGTAATAGCAGGAAATGGAAAATAAAATAATCATTAAGGAATAATAGTTATGCATATTAGGGTATATGTGCTCAGTGGAATCTTATGCAGCCATTCACAACAGTGATTTTGGACACAATGTAGCAACGTGGAAAATATTTTTGTTACTTGTACAGCTAATAAAAACAAAACATAAAATTCTATCAGTGCTCTAAGTTCAGCTAAGCCGTACGTACGTGTGTGGGGGGCTGAGGCTTGAAGAGAGTCCAGGAGAAGGGAGCAAGTTTGATCGGCTGTGGTGATGTCCAGTCGTGTCTTCTCCCTCCTGAGACTTTGGTTTCTGCTGGGGTGCTTGTTGTCTGACTCCCAGGCAGGGAATGGGTCTGTCTCGTCCACTTGCATCTCCCCAGGGCCTGCAATTGTGCCTGCTGTCAAGCCAGTGCCCAGTAAGTGCTGGGTATATTCATGAGTGCCAAATGGCAGTGCTTCTTAGACTCTCGTGTACATCTGAATCCCCTGACGGGCATGTTAAAACACAGATCGCTGGGTCTCAGTTTCCAAGTCAGCAGGTCTGGGGGAGGCCCAAGAATCTGAGTTTCTAACAAGCTCCCAGGTAATGCTTCTGTTGCTAGTCTGGGAACCGTACCTGGAGCACCCCCAGGATCAGTTTTGTGCTATAAAAACTTAATCCTGTGCTCCTGAAATTCTCCATCGTGGGTGAAAATCTCCATTTTGTCTTTCTCTTTAGCTTCGAAGCACAGCTTACTAGGTAAAGCTCAGCTGTACTTGAGAGTCACCCAAGCTCCACAGGACATGGCCTGCCAGGTGCAGCCCCACCGTGGTGTGGAGGCGCACACCATCTTCAGTGTCTTCTGCATGTCAGGAAAACCGGTATGTGGCAACCCCATGTCTGTCTTGAGAGACCGAAGACAGCAGCCACTTTTGGAGGTCACGGCAACTCTCTGCATGACATACTGCAGAATATAAAATGTTGTCCTTCCCCAGTTGTGGAGGAACTCAGCCAGGAGTTGAATGCTGGATAGTTGCTTAGATAGGAATGGGTCCTCCCACTCATGAGAGGGGTGCAGAGCAGACCCTGTTCAGGAGACAGGCCCCGCTCCCCGGGTCATGTAACAGGGTGCTCACAGCCTCTGCATATGCCCCAAAGTGAGGAACCCAATGCCTGCCCACCAGGGCGTGTCTCTAACATGGACTTAATCTCACTCTCCTTATTTAGGCAACAGAGAAAGTCACTGTGATTTTTTTGCGCAGCGTCTTGTGAGGATGAGACGAGAGGATGGGTTTNGGCAGCTTAATAGCACCTTCTCCCCCGGGACTCTGGCCACATGTCCCCAGTCCACTGATTGTCCTTCCCACGTAGCCACCTCCTTTTCTGCAGGAATTACAGAACGGGCTGTGACAGTAAAGCCTTACTCACTGAGCAGCGGAGAGACATATGTCCTGCAAGCGTCTGTGGGTATGTTACACTGTCGGTTGGGTTTGGTGCAGGGAACCATGAGGGCTTTGATCCTATTCATACATTTTCCTGGAAATGAAATAAGATAATATATGAACAGCGTCTAGCAGAGCACCTGGTACAGAGCACAGGCTCCATCAGTGGTACCTGCTACTAAATTATCATTGAGCTTTAACAACTTGACATGTAAATCTCGCTCCTGTAAATCATCTCAAGAAAAATGCATTAAAAGTTTAAAAAAACTGTATGTATGAGAATAATCACTATTGGATGACCAGTAATAGCAGGAAATGGAAAATAAAATAATCATTAAGGAATAATAGTTATGCATATTAGGGTATATGTGCTCAGTGGAATCTTATGCAGCCATTCACAACAGTGATTTTGGACACAATGTAGCAACGTGGAAAATATTTTTGTTACTTGTACAGCTAATAAAAACAAAACATAAAATTCTATCAGTGCTCTAAGTTCAGCTAAGCCGTACGTACGTGTGTGGGGGGCTGAGGCTTGAAGAGAGTCCAGGAGAAGGGAGCAAGTTTGATCGGCTGTGGTGATTGTCCAGTCGTGTCTTCTCCCTCCTGAGACTTTGGTTTCTGCTGGGGTGCTTGTTGTCTGACTCCCAGGCAGGGAATGGGTCTGTCTCGTCCACTTGCATCTCCCCAGGGCCTGCAATTGTGCCTGCTGTCAAGCCAGTGCCCAGTAAGTGCTGGGTATATTCATGAGTGCCAAATGGCAGTGCTTCTTAGACTCTCGTGTACATCTGAATCCCCTGACGGGCATGTTAAAACACAGATCGCTGGGTCTCAGTTTCCAAGTCAGCAGGTCTGGGGGAGGCCCAAGAATCTGAGTTTCTAACAAGCTCCCAGGTAATGCTTCTGTTGCTAGTCTGGGAACCGTACCTGGAGCACCCCCAGGATCAGTTTTGTGCTATAAAAACTTAATCCTGTGCTCCTGAAATTCTCCATCGTGGGTGAAAATCTCCATTTTGTCTTTCTCTTTAGCTTCGAAGCACAGCTTACTAGGTAAAGCTCAGCTGTACTTGAGAGTCACCCAAGCTCCACAGGACATGGTCTGCCAGGTGCAGCCCCACCGTGGTGTGGAGGCGCACACCATCTTCAGTGTCTTCTGCATGTCAGGAAAACCGGTATGTGGCAACCCCATGTCTGTCTTGAGAGACCGAAGACAGCAGCCACTTTTGGAGGTCACGGCAACTCTCTGCATGACATACTGCAGAATATAAAATGTTGTCCTTCCCCAGTTGTGGAGGAACTCAGCCAGGAGTTGAATGCTGGATAGTTGCTTAGATAGGAATGGGTCCTCCCACTCATGAGAGGGGTGCAGAGCAGACCCTGTTCAGGAGACAGGCCCCGCTCCCCGGGTCATGTAACAGGGTGCTCACAGCCTCTGCATATGCCCCAAAGTGAGGAACCCAATAATGCTGGATAGTTGCTTAGATAGGAATGGGTCCTCCCACTCATGAGAGGGGTGCAGAGCAGCCCCTGTTCAGGAGACAGGCCCCGCTCCCCGGGTCATGTAGCAGGGTGCTCACAGCCTCTGCATGTGCCCCAAAGTGAGGAACCCAACTGCATGACATACTGCAGAATATAAAATGTTGTCCTTCCCCAGTTGTGGAGGAACTCAGCCAGGAGTTGAATGCTGGATAGTTGCTTAGATAGGAATGGGTCCTCCCACTCATGAGAGGGGTGCAGAGCAGACCCTGTTCAGGAGACAGGCCCCGCTCCCCGGGTCATGTAACAGGGTGCTCACAGCCTCTGCATATGCCCCAAAGTGAGGAACCCAATGCCTGCCCACCAGGGCGTGTCTCTAACATGGACTTAATCTCACTCTCCTTATTTAGGCAACAGAGAAAGTCACTGTGATTTTTTTGCGCAGCGTCTTGTGAGGATGAGACGAGAGGATGGGTTTAAAGAGTCTGAGGTTGGGTGGTGGGCAGGGCGCTATCCTCCTGTCCTCTCAGTGTGGACAGCAGCCTGTCTGCCCATGTTGCTCCTTCTCTCAGACGCCTGCCCTGTCCATGGAAGGGGCCTGGCCCTGGCTTCCACTCAAGGTCCAGGCCCAGTCGCCTCTGCTTGGAACCTGGAGAGTGAGTCCCCCACCTCCCTGTCCAGCGGCGATCCCAGCAGTGGGGAGGCTGAGCTTCAGCCAGGTCCCCTTCATCCTGAGGGGCTGTGACAGTCTGAATCAAGACTGTCAGCAGGGTTCAGGGCAAGGAGGGTAGGCAGTCCACGAATGAGGACTCGGTGTTGTGGGAGGAGCCGTTTGGGCTATGGAGAGGAGAGCCCTGCAGGGTGGGGAGACCCCCACATGCTGTGTAGCTGGGGACACTGTGGAGCTGTTATTCACCCTGTTCCTGGCTGCAATGAAGGCTGCAGGTGTGTGCGTATGGACTGGTGATGTCATTCACAGTGTGTTCATCTATACTGTTTTTTCCTCCCCATGGATTGGATTCTAGGACTTTCGTTATGAATTTAGTTACTGGACAGGAAATGCCTCCAAACACACCTTGTACCAGGGGAGAGATGCCCAGTACTATTTTGCGTTGCCAGCTGGTGAGCCCTTGGACAGTTACAGAGGTAAGTCATGGTGCCGATGTGGCCGCTGGCTGTGCTTACTTACAGTTCTCAGCCTTTTTTTTCCTGGCTTCCAAAAATAACGATGGTTAAAACGATGTGTCTCAAAAATAAAATTGTTTTTCATGCTGATAAGGTTAATGCTTTTTAGTTTAGATTGATTAGCTACCTTTTAGTGCAGAAAGAACATTAGTAATAGTATCAATAAATTAATTTTTTATATTTTAAATATTAACTGAAATATAATGTATATGATAAAATGCCAAAGAATTTTTTAATATATGAATTAAATATTGAAGACCAAGAAATCTCTTATTTACTAATAAAATATGTTTTATCTGCCGAATGTTGCATTTATTATAGATGAAACCAAATCAAGGTACCACCCTAAGGAAGAAAGTGTGGGGTAAAGTGATGTGGAGTTAGTGTGTTACAATCTCAAAACAAAGTGAATCCCGTAATGTCATCAACATTCTGCTCTGACCTCTGTCTCTGAGGCCGTGTCCAGTTCTACACTAGCCCTTAGGAACTGGCCTCAACTTGAGCATATGAGGGACATAGCCATTTAGGAAGATGTCTGGATATGCACAACCCCAATTTACAGTCTCTGGGGGTGACTTTTTTTGTTTTTGTTTTGTTTTAAACTTCTGGAAGATTCCACTGTGCAGGTAAGGTTGAGAGTCACTGATCTAGAAATTTCTTTGATTAGGGCTGGTAAGATCATTTCAGCCCGAAGTCTGAACTAGTTCATCCACCTGATTTATTTAAATCTCACCTCTCCTTTAAGCCCAGCTAAAATGCCTTCTTCTTCATGAAACCTTGCCTGTCGCCTCTAATGAGAAACACTTGCACCTTTTTCTAGATTCAAGTCGAATTGAGCAAAACTTTTCAGAGCAGGGTGCTTTGTGATCTTTGTAATCAGGTTCTGCTTTGTACCACAATGATTTCAAACTCCCTTCTGATCTGAAGGTTTCCTAAAGTCAAGCAACGAGACAGACTAGCATGGTAGATGTCAGTGGAATGATGAAGGTGGTCTTCAGACCTGCCTCCATAGATCCTTACACACTAAAATTGCACTCACCCTCTGTCTTCTGGAAATTTCCCCCAAAATGGAAGCTCATCCCAAGCTCCCCTCTTTTTGGTGTTGGACTTGAAGCCAGGAACCCATCCCAAGGGCTGGGTCAGAACAGGATGTGCCCTTAAGGTGAGGAGCCCACACTGTGCCTTCTGTGGAGTTGGTCATGTTCAGAGCTGGCATGCCTCTCCCGAGTGCTGCATTTAGGGGTATGTGGGACATTGTCCACCAGGGCATCTGCAGACCACAGGGCTGGGCAAATGTCCACACAAAAGGACCTTGGGACAGGGCCTCAGCTCCATGTGGGAAGAAGGGATTTTTTTAAATTTGTAGAACCAAATTTCAGGTCACAGTACCAGAGGAGTGTCTGGATTAGTGATGATACTCTGATCTTTCACAGGTGTGAGGTGTGATATTTGATTATAATTGTCAATATCCATGCAATCAGTTCCTATGAATATCTGAATTCAAGATTTACAAGAGGGTAAATGCAATACAATAAACACTTAATACATACCTTATGTCGTCTCACCTTTTGCATGAATGAATATGGCACAGACTCAACGTGTTGAATTAAATGGAATCTTGCCCGAAACCTGTTCCTTCTCTCACATTCTCTATCCTGATTCACTGAACCAGTGTTATCTGTAGTGGGGTATTTGTTAAAATTGCAGCTTCCAGGGTCCCACCCAATATCTACTGACTTAGAATCTCAGGAAGAAGGTGGAGCCCAGAATTTGCTTGTAGACAGGCTTCCTGGTGCCCATGGTCCACATCATGAGAAGCACTGACCTCCAAAATTCAGTCCCCAGTCCTCAGCACTGGCTCTTAGGTTGAGGGTGTTGTAACGGAGCCACTCAGGGTGTGCCTGTGCCTCAATCTTCCTGAGTGGTTCACATGACCCTACCTGGGGCTGTCACCTGCTCCCTGAGCCTCATCTGCGGGTCTCCTCACCACACCCCAGACCAATGTCATATGAAAGAATTCCTGGGTCTCTAAAACAGCCATTCCCTGCCATGCTTTTGTGTCTCCATTCAAACTTCCCTCAGAATGCCTCTTCACCTTTTCTTCAGACCTGTTAAATTCCTATACATCGTTTAGAAACTGGTTAAAATATGACCCCAACCCTGGACGGCCCACGAACAGCCATTCCCTGCCATGCTTTTGTGTCTCCATTCAAACTTCCCTCAGAATGCCTCTTCATCTTTTCTTCAGATCTGTTAAATTCCTATACATCGTTTAGAAACTGGTTAAAATATGACCCCAACCCTGGACGGCCCACGGCAGAGTTTGTATCTCACGCACTGGGCTCCCTGTGGCCCAGGCCTCTGCCCGGTTTCAGCACTCACCACACTTTCAGTAGACAGGGAGATGCTGGATGGTGAGGTAGCCCCGCTCACCTGCGACTTCTTAGGCTGCAGCAGGCACGCCACACTGTGGGTCCAGTGAAGGAACGCGTGAGCCCAGGAAAGAAGGTGTCCCTCCCTGATCCCTCCAGCACACAGTGGTGGCTTTTGCCTCTCAACTGTTTGTGGCCCCTCCTGTCTTCCCCATCTGCTCTCTGCCTGTTACTGGGGCTTAGATTTTGTGTCAGTGCATGAGATTTCCCAGAAGGAGGGAGGAAACTGAAGTTCACTCTTGTGCCTTGTTTTATTTTTGTGTTCCTTGTAGCACCTGTCACCATCCTAGGCATACAGATGTGCTCAGGAGAGATTCTATTTCCTGATTTATTATATGCACAGTGCAAGTAACTTGGGAGGGAAAACATCTTGCAATTTCTTCTCTTTCTGAGCTTTGCCAGGACTGAGCCTGTCCCCCTGTGCCATTCAGTTGCTGTCACTGTGTGAAGAAGCATCTCTGTAGCTCCATGTCCAAGATGACCTTCTCTGACATGTTCCCTTACAGTCATGGTTTCCATTGAGATCACCAATGGTGAGGGCTCCAAGGTCCAGCCGTGCACTGTGGAGGTGACCGTCCTGCCACATTACCACGGGAGTGACTGCCTGGATGAGGAACTGTGAGTAGCACAACGCCACACAGATGTCTTTGTGCGGTGTTTGTGTTTCCTCGTGAGATTGCTGTCCCTCACGTTGTCAACAGGTGCAGTAGAAGAGTGGCAGGAACTTGTCTTTGCAGGATGAGCAAGAAAGCAACCAGGGCTCGCCCACCACAATCATGCTAACTCGTACAGGCATCTCTGTGTGTGCTTCAGAGCCCATCAAGCACTTTCTTTTTAAAACAGTGTTACTGAGATACATTTACATGCCATAGTTCTCTCATTCAAATGTGTGATTCTTTGGTTTTTTAGTACACTTACTGAGTCGGGCAGCCTTTACCATAAGCTGATTTTGAAACATTTTCATCATCCCACAGAATCCTTGTACTCATCAGCAGTCCTTCCCTGCCCCCACCACCCAGCTCCCCCTACGAGCCCCAGGCAACCACTCATCTACTTTGTGTCTACAGATTTGTCTATTCTGGATACTTCACATGAGTGGGGTGATACGACATGGGATCTTTTGTATTGTCTCTATTACTTAGCATCTGAATGGTTTTGAGTTTCATCTGTGTTGTAGTATTTATCAGTACCTCATTTCTCCTTTTGGCTGGATAATATTTTATTGTATGGATATACCACACATAATTTATCCATTCATCAACTGATGAACACAGTGGTTGTTTCCACTTTGGGGCTATGAGAAATTGCTGCTATGAGCATTCATGTGCAAGTTGAGTGGACAAGTGTTTTCATCTCTCTTGGGTAACTGATTAGGAGTGGAATCGCTGGGTCATGTGGTAGCTCTGGTTTTAGCATTTTGAGGAACTGCTAAACTGTTTTCCAAAGTGGCTGCACCATTTTACATTTCCATCAGCAATGTAGGAAGATTCCAGTTTCTCCGCATCCTAACCAACACTGGTTATTGTCTATCTTTCTGTTTATAGCCATTCTAGTGGGTGTGAAGTGGTATCTCATTGAGGTTTGAATTTGCATTTTCCTAGTGAGTGGTGAGCATCTTTTCATGTGC